CTTGAGACCCTGGGATAAAACCCACTTGGTCATGGTGTATAATTTGTTTGATGTGTTGCTGAATTCTGTTGGTTAGGATCTTGTTGAATATTTTTGCTTCAATATTCATTAGTGATATTGGTCTATAATTTTCTTTTCTTGTTGAGTCTTTTCCTGGTTTGGGGATCAAGGTGATGTTTACTTCATAGAATGTGTTGGGTAGTATTCCTTCATTTTCTATACTTTGTAAAAGGTTGAGTAATTTAGGTACTAGTTCCTCTTTAAAGGATTGGTAGAATTCTGATGTGAAGTCATCTGGTCCTAGGCTTTCTTTTTAGGGAGATTTTGTATAGTTGATGCTATTTCAGAGCTTGATATGGGCCTGTTGAACATTTCCAGTTCATTCTGGCTAAGTCGAGGAAGGTGGAGTGCTTCCAAGTATTGGTCAATTTCCTTCAGATTTTCATATTTCTGAGAATAAAATTTCTTGTAATATTCATTAAGGATTTTTTGAATTTCTGAGGAGTCTGTTGTTATTTTGTCTTTGTCATTTCTGATGATGAAATTAGAGATTTTACTTTTTTTTCCTGTTTAGGTTAGCCAAAGGTTTATCTATTTCATTGAGCTTTTCAAAAAACCAACTTTTTGATTTATTGATCTGTTGTATAATCCTGTTGTTTTCAATTTCACTTAATTCTGCTCTAATTTTGGTTATTTCTTTTCTTCTACTGGGTTTGGGATTGGAATGTTCTTTGTTTTCCAGTTCCTTGAGATGTCCCATTAAGTTGTTAACTTCCTCTGTTTCTGTTCTCTTGAGGAAGGGTTGCAATGTTATAAATTTCCCTCTTAGGTCTGCCTTTGCAGTATCCCAGAGGTTCTGATATTCATGTCTTCATTATTGTTTTGTTCCAAAAATTTTGTAATTTCCTTCTTAATTACATCTATGACCCAGCTATCATTCAGCATATGGTTATTTAGTTTCCATGTTTTTGTATGAGTATATAGATTCCTGTTGTTATCAAGTTCAACTTTTATTCCGTGATGGTCTGAGAAGATGCAAGGAATAATTTCTATGCTTTTAAATTTGCTGAGGTTAGACTTGTGACCTAAGATGTGATCAATTTTGAAGTATGTTCCATGGGCTGAAGAGAAGAATGTGTATTCCAGTTTGTTAGGATGAAATGTTCTGTAGATGTCTGTTAAATCCAATTGTTGAATGGTTAAGTTTAAATCTAAAATTCCTTTGTTTAGCTTCTTATTGGAGGATCTATCCAACACTACCAAAAGGGTGTTAAAATCTCCAGCTATTATGGTGCTGGAGGAAATCAAGTTGCTAATGTCTGTTTGAGTCTCTCTTATAAATTCATCAGGTGCATTCTGGTTGGGTGCATAAATATTAATAATTGAAATCTCATCATGTTGAGTGTTACACTTAACAAATATGAAGTGACCATCCTTATCTTTCCTTACTTTTGTTGGTTTAAAGCCTATTGTATCTGTGAATAAAATTGCAACACCTGCTTTTTTCTGATTGCCATTTGCCTAAATTACAGATGACCATTCCTTAACCCCGAGTCTATATTTATCTTTTAAGGTCAGATGAGATTCTTGTATGCATCAGATATCTGGCCTGAGTTTTTGTATCCGGTCAGCCAACCTGTGCCTCTTTAGAGGACAATTTAAGCCATTCACATTAATTGAGAATATTGATAAGGCTGGTAGAATTTTGGGTATCGAGTTTTTTGAAAGTCCAGTGGACATTTTTAATCTTTTTGCTACTGTGGAAGTGGGAATTTGATCAAAAGTTTCTGAGTGAGTTTACTTTTGTGGTGGAGGATTGTGTTGGTCATTATGGAGGATAGGTTTGAGAATATCCTGGAGAGCTCGTTTAGTTATGGTAAATTTCTTTTGATATGAATGTCATTAAAGTATTTAATTTCTCCATCATAGATGAAACTCAGTTTAGTTGGATACAGGATACTGGGTTGAAAGTTATATTGTTTTATTTATTCACATAAATTTCTTTTGATGTGAATGTCATTAAAGTATTTAATTTCTCCATCATAGATGAAACTCAGTTTAGCTGGATACAGGATACTGGGTTGAAAGTTATTTTGTTTTAAGAGATTAAAAGTCGATGACTATCCTATTCTAGCTTGAAAGGTTTCAGCAGAGAGATCTGCGGTCATTGTAATATTCTTCCACTTGTAGGTTATGGTTTTCTTTTTCTTTTTTTTTTTTTTTTTTTGAGACAGAGCCTCAAGCTGTCCCCCTGGGTAGAGTGCCATGGCATCCTAGTAGGGAAAGGAGCTCTGGTTTTTAGAGGGTCTATCCCATGGGATAAAATGGGAGGCCGTTTGAACTCTGCTGTAGCCGGTTGAGCTATAGGCGCTGAGCCAGGTTATGGTTTTCTTACATCTGGCTGCCTGCAGAATTTTCTCCTTGATTTTAACTTTAGTGAAGTTAATTAT